ACCTGGAGCCTGAGGAGCAAAGCCCAAATAGGGCCGAAGTCCAGGAAAGAGAAGGAAAAGCCCAGCAAGGGCAAGAACAATGCCGGAGATGAGGCCCAAAAGGAAAGAGGCCAAGAGAGTGCCGAGAAGAGGAGACCCGCAGTAGAACGGACAGCCAAGTCCAAAGAAGTTGGAGGAGAGGGCCAAATGAGAAACCCTAAGGAGACTCAGGACTGAATCCATCCAACCCTTAAAAGCTTGAGAGTGGAGCGCACAAAACTCAATCCTGTCACATCATTTTTCAGAATCATGAAAAGCATTTATCCTCTTTAAAAAGGAAATAAGAGTAAATACTTATTTTCAAAAGGAACGTGAACCGAGTTAATCATGTTTAAATAGTAATGGGTTATAACAATTTTGCAATTTTGAAAGGAACATACAAGTGAATAATAAAGGATTAACAATTCCCTTCAATTTCCTTTAAACATGATAAATTGATATAATTCCTTGCATTTTCCCTTTGAACAATGATCAATTCCTTTCATGTGTTTTTAACATGACACTTCTGTTCATTAATTTGCCAAGGAAAGTGAACAGAATTGATCATGTTTAAAAGGAAAATAGAAAGAACCTATATTTGTTCAAAACATAAAAGGGATTGATCCTCTTTAAAAGAATAAAAAATCATATATATAACAAAAAATTGACCGAGTTAAGCATTGAAAAAAGTAATAGATTATAACCATTTTGAGAGGAATTTTTCAAGTGAGAATACAGAGCATGGATCATGTTTGATTAAACAAATATTACGTAAACATTGATGACTTCCTGTGTTGTCTTTACAAAAAATGACAAATTCCATTCAATTTCCTTTCAACAGGATAAGTTCATATAATTCCTTGCATGTTCTATTTGAACAATTATAACTCCTTTCAATATTTGTAACATGACACTTCTGTTCATTTATTTGCAAAAGAAAGTGAAAAGAACTAATCATGTTTAAAAGTAAAATATACAAAAACTATATTTTTTCAACACATAAAAGGATTGATCCTCTTTAAAAGAAAAGAACAATAAATAATCATATATTCACCCAAAAAAGGACCGAGTTAAGCATTGAAAAAACAAGATGGAACCCACGAACCCGAATGCAAACACGTTCGACAAACTAATACGTCCAAATGACACTCTTGTGGGACACTCTTGTAGGACACTCTTGTAGCACACTCTTGTGGGTCACCCTTGTAGGAAACTCTTGTGGGACACTCTTGTAGGACACTCTTGTGGGACACTCTTGTAGGACACTCTTATAGGACACTCTTGTGGAACACTCTTGTGGGACCCTCTTGTAGGACACTCTTGTGGGACACTCTTGTAGGACACTCTTGTGGGACACTTTGTGAGACACTCTTGTGGGACACTCTTGTGGGACACTCTTGTAGGAAACTCTTGTGGGACACTCTTGTGGGACACTCTTGTAGGACACTCTTGTGGGACACTCTTGTGGGTCACTCTTGTAGGAAACTCTTGTGGGACACTCTTGTGGGACACTCTGTGGGACACTCTTGTGGGACTCTCTTGTGGGACACTCTTGTAGGATACTCTTGTGGGACAGTCTTGTAGGACACTCTTGTGGGACACTCTTGTGGGACACTCTTGTAGGACACTCTTGTGGGATACTCCTGTAGGACACTCTTAAGGGACACTCTTGTGAGACACTCTAGCGGGACACTGTTGGGGGACACTCTTGTGGGACTCTCTTCCAGCTCCCCAGATACTCCGCGTACTAAAGTTGTACTACAAGGTCGCCAGTTCTCAGCTTTCTGGGACACTCTTGTAGGACACTCTTGTAGGACACTCTTGTGGGTCACTCTTGTGGGACACTCTTGTAGGACACTCTTGTGGGACACTCTTGTAGGACACTCTTGTGGGACACTCTTGTGGGACACTCTTGTAGGACACTCTTGTAAAATACTCCTGTAAACACTCTTAAGGGACACTCTTGTGAGACACTCTAGCGGGACACTGTTGGGGGACACTCTTGTGGGACTCTCTTCCAGCTCCCCAGATACTCCGCGTACTAAAGTTGTACTACAAGGTCGCCAGTTCTCAGCTTCCAGCTCCCCAGATACTCCGCGTACTACAGTTGTACTACAAGGTCGCCAGTTCTCAGCTTCCAGCTCCGCAGATTGCTCCGCGTACTCAAGTTGTACTACAAAGTCGCCAGTGCTCGCCTGCATTTCGCGCGCTCGACACGCACGATCTCCGCAGAGGGTTGCGCGGGCACCGGACAAATCGCACTCTCGCCTGCATTTCGCGCACTCGACACGCACGATCTCCGCAGAGGGTTGCGTGCGCATGGGACAAATCGCACTCTCGCCTGCATTTCGCGCACTCGACACGCACGATCTCCGCAGAGGGTTGCGCGCGCATGGGTCAAATCGCACTCTCGCCTGCATTTCGCACACTCGACACGCAGCGTTTCGTACGAGACTTCCTCAAAAACTCACACGTCAAAGTCTGCAAAACGAGCGTTTCGTACGAGACTTCCTCCAAAAGTCAAGCGGAAACACCCATCGGAGCACACGCATCACGCAGCCCTGCCAAGCAGTTTCGCGATTCCAGCCCCTCCAAACAACATCCGCTCACGCGCCAATCCCAATGTGACAGCGACATTCACCTCTACCACAACTCACAAGCTCACGATTCCCCGCGCCTGCCACGAATCTTTCCCCATCCACACGTCTAACGCGCACAAAGTACTGCGCCTGCCACGAAATGTCACCTCCGTCACACCTTGCAACCTCACGATTCCCTGTGCCTGCCACGAGAATCGCACTTCCACGCCTCAAAGCCCGCACGAAGTCCTGCGCCTGCCACGAAAAGTGCCAATATCATCGCATGTGAGCTTCAACAAAATTTGCACCACGCCACACGTTTGGAATGATTTCGACCCGTTCAGAGCACACTCCCATCCACCAAAATCACCATTTCAGCTGAGACTTGTCACGAAAACAGCGCTTCGATGCCACACCCTCACACGCAAATCCCAATGGCACGGCCACATCCAACACCCCAAAAACACGACTCTCCAAACGCTAATCCCAATGGAACTGCGCAGCAATCTGCGGATCTCACAAAACGCTGCGCCTGTGCAGCGACGTGCATCACGTTTCTTGCGCGACATGTCGGTGTCATGCAAATCACAATGGAATAGCGGTGCAAACTGACACGCGACACATCCATGCAAAGTCACTTGCAAAAGCTTCCCCCAATGGCAGCAAATTTGAGACGCGGCGACGACGACACGACGACGACAGACGACGACAGACGACGAGAGACGACGAGAGACGACGACAGACGACGACACGACGCAAGCCATGCAAACACATGTCCAACCCCCACACCCCCAACTACAAACGGGAACCCTTCGCTACGTATTCGGGAATAATGAATTATAACCATTTTGAGAGGAAAATACACGTGAATAAAACATAATACACAATTACTGTCAATTTTCTTTAAACAGGATAAGTTGATATAATTCCTTGCATTTTCTATTTGAAGAATTATAATTCCTTTCATGTTTTTTCCTTTCATGTTTTTTTTAAACATATCACTTCTGTTCATATATGTGCAAAGGAAAATGAAAAAATTATCATATTTAAATAGTCATGGGTTATAACAATTTTGAAAAGAAAATACAAGTGCATAATAAGGGATAAACACGAAACAAGGTGAGGAGGGGGGGGTGCATGGACACTCCTGGGAGGGAAGATTGAGTTGGGCACACCCTCAAGAGTTGTGAGCCCCCCCCCCCCCCCCCCCCCCCTCAAGAGTTGTAAAGTTGTGAGCCCCCCCCCCCTCCCCTCCCCTACCACCACCACAGAGTGCTTGCTTGTGCTCCGCTTCTATACAGGAATGGCTGACTGTTTAAAGGGAACATGAAGGGAATCATCACTATTAAAAATAAAAATGAAATGAGATAAGTATGTTCAAGTGACGAAAGGAATTGATCATTTTTTGTAAACAATGCTTGTCAGATATGAAACTTGCAACCTGTGTGTCAAGCTGAAATAACATAACACATATGAAACGTGCAAACCGTGGTAGGGCAAAACGCCCGAGGAACCATGTTTTTATATGACTCTCCAGTGATTCTATATGACTCTCCAGTAAGAGCAACAAAATTGAGAGAGGTATAGAGAGGTGAGGAGGGAATTGAAATCATCCCCTATTTAAAACGTGTAGAGAAGGACACCTGAAGACAACTATGTACAAATTTCCACCCCACGAATAGTTGTGGAACATAGAAAATCATATAAATAAGAGAGGTCGCGGTTTTCTCATAGTTTGTTCCCTTTTTATTGCCCTTTTGATACAGTGTCTAATTATTCATCTAAGTCAAGGATTCGATTGGGGGTGGTATGGACATGTATGAACTATCCGGAACACATAGGGAACGGACTTCACTTGGGCATAGTTTGCCCATCAGGGAGTTGTGGGCCTTGCAATTGTCTCTTCAGCCTCTATAGCTTTGGGTCTATCCTATTACCAGGTTTCAGTGGATGATGATGGTTAGGTTGCAGGCCTCGTTAAATGGTGATTAGCTTGCTTTTCCTGCCTCTTACAGGTAATAGGACAAACCCAACCTCTGTGGATCCAATCACCTTGAACCCTGCTGTCACCTGTCACATGCCGAAGAACCAAACGGAGTAGAGGGAGTGGAGTCCTAGGGATCAATGCCTACTAGTGACCAATGGATAATCAGAAGATCGAACTGTAGCTCAAAACAATTCTCAGACCTTGGAGTTCGTGAGGGAATTCGATTGATGAGGAGAGTGATTCTGATTGATCAATCCATTGGTAACTTCTTCCTCTGTCTCCGAATTGATCTTCAGCTCCTTGCCAAAACACGATTGGACCTCTTCCTGGAGTCCTGGAGTTCATGCCATGTCCAGCACCGAAACAAATAACTTGACGCGAGATCTTCCTCGTCGACTCGTCTGGCCAGTCTGGGCCTTTCTCGCTCTCCTGCTTCACCTTGAACTTGCAGTGACCTGGCCGTGGCCGCCGTGGCCGCCGTAGCCTTTGGAAGTCACATTGATGTAAGAGGCGTGGTCCGTGACTTCGGGGCCACTGCAGGTTGCAACCTTGAAATAGAAGAGACTGATTTCAGCTAAGGCAAAGCCAATCCTGCAGTGAAGCCAATCCTGGGTAAAAGACCCGTTTCTCGAGGAAAACATCAGACTGACGACAATTGTTAAACAGTGTCCATGACATACTTATATATAATAACCAAGTAAACAAACAAATCTCTGAGAAAGGTGCAAGTTTGCCAACAACATCCAACAACTGGGTATGGGTGTGATAAAAGGGCTCTGATCGGCTTGATGGCTGACAGCTTCCGCAATGCTAAGTTCCATGTTTTTTCAAAGGGTCAGCTGTGAAGAGTTGGTTGTCCAATGAATCCCGACTGATCAAACCGGGAATCAAGCAGCCGAAGAGCTTCTGAGCAGGTGGTAGTTCAAGTTTGAGAAGCCTGTGTTTGTTGCTTGAAAGCAGAGTTGGATGCACTGGATTTCAACACCAGGGACGTTTCCTCTTGCCCAACCGACTCTCGTTCGATACCAAAGTCGGCCTCCCGTGTCCCGTGATGTCCGCTGAAGTGCTGTGATGGCCGCGTCAACGACCCGTCGTTTCACTCCCCTTTCCGACCGAGATCCCAAGATCCCACGCCTCCCTGAGGTGCAAAGCCACCTGGCATCTCGCTCTTCAGCACGAAAACATCTTGTCCTGGGAAAGCCTGGAAAGAGGAGAAAGCCACAAAGGTGCACCACAAAAGGGCACCTGGGGGGGTTTGACGGGTGATTCTCGCTGAAGGAACAAAAGGAACGAAACAGAAAACATCGGCTCGTGAGCAGTTTTTCTCAGTATTTCTGAGCGTTTGCCTTGGGGTTCAATTGCCTTGGGTTGGCCCGCTTCTCCCTGCAAGTGTCCAAACCAACCGCCCAAAAACGAGCGACCGGGTGCACTTGCTACACGTTTGACTGGACACATTATGGTTTTGCGCTCTCTGGTTTTGGCATGTTTTTGCTGAATTCAGTTGAAAGGGACCATCATAGCATCAACCATCACAAGCATATTTGCCCTTGGTGATGGCAATTGATTGCAAAGCCAGTTCCAAGGGGGTCAACCTCGGTCAGAAGTGCACCAAGTTGGAGAGGGCCAACTATGGCCTGATGCTGCTGGGGACTGAGCTGGGCCTTTCTCAATCCTCGACTACAACAGCGCTGAACCACCAAGTGCGTTGATCATTGAAGTCTTGAGCCACATCCTCCGATAGCTTGATAGTCTTGAGCCAAACTCCACCCCTTCCTAACCAGAAATGTATGATCTCGATGTGAGGGATGGCGCAAGCGCAACAACCTACTCAACAAAGATCCTGCTTGATCAGTGCCCCGCGTGTTCCAAAGCGTTTCGGTCCTGTTGACAGGTCGTTTGATTGTTCCTGCTCAACGATGACGACTGACCACTCCAGGCTTCAATCAGTTCCACTTACAGTCGGAAAGCGTTTTTTGTTGCTCATCTGAACATCGATGAGCATGACTGCCAAGGCACGTCACATCCAATGAAACCATAGCCCTTGTTGGGATTGAAGGATTTCACTTCACCTTGGACGCTGGCACACCCGGTACTGGTGCCGATGCAGGCGGGATGTGCCAGAAGTTGGCCACGTCTCGTCCGGTCTCAGGTTTCGAGATGGCTCCTCTCAGCCATGGAAGAGAGGGCTAGGCTTTGCGACCTGAAAGCCTAGCCTCTCCGAAAGGCAAAAGAAGGTAGGTTATGGTATGTTCATCATCTTATATCAAATGTCATGAACATACCCCTGAAATTGAGCTCAATCAGCTCCATCCTGGTTCCTACTGGTTCCTTCCGAAACGGGGGGAGGGAGTGGCTTCCAGCTCCCAAACCGGTCGAGGCCTTCAGCACTCACCACCGGGTGTTTCAAACGGTCCAACAGCGTGCACTCGGTCCCGGGCCGTGGTAGACAGCCTCTTCGGGAGGCACCAAGACCTTGACTTCTGTGGCCTGCTGCCCCTGGGGCGAAGCTGGGAGATCTGGAGCACGCACCACGTCTGTTGTTTCAACCCGTCGGTTTCAGGCGAAAATACAACTTTTGTGGACCCAGTCGTGTCTCTGAGTGACTTATGAGTGACTTATGAGACTCTGATCAAAATCTGAGACCTACAATAGACATCTCCGGAGAATTGCTCCGTATCTTGGCCATTTTCAGCCATCCATTGGAGAGAGGAAGTCGACTTGGCGCTTTTGGACGGCAAACCGATCTAAACCACATCGATTCTTGGGTGTTAGGTATAGGCCCTTGGATTCTCTGAAGCAAGGGCCCCCCTGTCTATTCGCTGGTGTCGCACCGTCAAGAATACGCTTGGTCATCCTGGAGTGGATAGAGGATGGGGAAATGCAGTAGGAGATAATAAGAGCAGCATGGTTTACACTTTTCAGAGGCATCTTCCCCCTATTCTAGCATGGTATTCTGGACAATGACACAAACATGTATGGACGGATTGTCACTTCATGTGCACTGCATTTAGTGATTTCTGCAGACTTCAAAACAGTTTGTTCAAACATCTACAAGTTTTGCGGACTCTTCACCTTACCGTTCTTCACCTTCCTTCCCATCGTGGCAATTGAGTTAACTGAAAACCAATGTCAGAGTGTTTGAGGTTTGGGGTTGTAGGGTTCGTGTTGAGTCCATGTCTCTGGAGGAGCAGCCACTGGGGGCCCAAGCAGTGGTGGCCAGGAACACCATTGGGCCAATGGTGCGGGGCAAGGGAACACGTGCGGGGCAACCAAACCTTTTGTCGCATCAGCAGGTCTGATCGTGTGAAGTCAAGCTTGTTGAATGGGATTCGTGGGTTCCAAGATGCACTGCCTTCTACTTTTTGTTCGTAAGACATTGATGTCGTGATGACATTCCGTGTGGTTGGAACGATGTGTTGGTCGGAAAACAGCTGTGCCTGGGCTGACGCGGCTGACGCTGGCATATGCAGCAGAAGTCGCGCAGCCTAAGAATACCAAGGGCTACCCAACAATTGGCCAACAAGTCTGTCGTCTCCAACTGGGAGATCCACCAATGAACCTTTCCACACTTGGCAGTTTTGTGGTAGGTCGCATTTTGCTATCCTGCATCACCTCTGGCCGGTAGTCAACGTTGATTTTTTGTTCGCACTGTACTTCCTAAGACAATTTTGTTCAAGCATGTGTTCCATGTTCTTTGTTTGCGAACGCCGCACTGAACCAGACCGCTTGATATTGCGGGTGGAGAAAGGCACTCGCCCTTTGGACAGATGGGACAGATCTAGACATAGACAGTCCGTTTTTCTTTCACCGGAAGACACCTGAACACATCAAGCTGCACATCAAGCTCCAACAATGAAAGGGACACCACCAGCTATCAAGATTTCAATCAGTGTCACACACCTGGTCACATCAGGTTTGCAGCCACACTCGGACCATCACCGCTTCTGCAACCTATGTAGTTCAAAGCAACCAGTGCACACAGTTTTGCCCATGGACGGCAGAAATGGCTCATGCTTCTTGTGGGCGCTGCACCCCAGCACCACATTCTGCGCCTTTGAACATCTCATGCATTTGTACACACGCCATCACACGCCCCTACGAACAGTCAGAACGCGAGGAACCTAGGCAAGGACGCGCGGTGGCCAGATGGACCAGTCAGTTTCGCGACGGGAAGTTTCAACACAAACAGCTGGGCTATCGACCGGTGCGGGTGTGAACAGCATGGGACTGCTAGAGATCCTAAACACAAACGTTCAAAAAATGAAACCTGTCAAGATGTCGAGCGATTCTGCGATCCATCGACTTCTGGGAAGACCCAACTCGAGAGACTCGTCTGGCGGCCTGCACCGGACAAAATTCAATACGGGTGCTCCTGGGAGATGCTTTTTGCGCAAGAAGTGATCAAAAACACTGTCTTTCCCTGATTTTTTGCTGACGCATCACCAAAACCTAGGTTTTCAGTTTTCAGCTATTGTTTTCATCATTTGTGTGAGGGCCAGGCCTGACAAGTTTGAGGGACTACTACAAAACCAACAAACCAAAAATAACACCAGCATAGACCCAGATAGCTAGGCAGAATCCCACGACCTGTTGACACGCGACTGGCTGGAACAAGAATGTACGCAGCTTGCGCAGCCAGCTTACGGCGCCTCCACAGCGCGCACAATCAGCTGACACCAGCACCGGTGCACTTTGCCAGCTGACAACACCGGCAGCGCCAGCGCCCGACCAGCGCCGCCGCCCGTCTTAAACGCACGCTCAGCCAGCTCACCACAGCACCAACACCCTTTCGAAAGCGCGCGCAGCCAGCTCATTCTTATTTGCAGCAAGAACCGCACAGCTATCCCTATTTATGCGCACAAAAGTATGCGCGCAAACGGCAAAGCCCGTAGGCTTCACTCGCCCAAGGCCAAGCAGTATCCAGCACGACTATTGTGTGTGTAGCACGCTGAAACAAATTGTCGGTTGGGAGCCTGACGCTGCGCATAGAACAATATACGTGCAAAAGTATGCGCGCAAACGGTACAGCCCTTGACACAGCTGTCGGCCAAAACAGACCCTGAAGAGTGTAAATACCCCACAGCGCTAATAGACAAAGAACGTTCAAGCGACAACACCGTATGATGTTGCGCGCATAAGTTCACGCGGCCCATGACCGCTGGCACTTCATTGTCAGAAGCGGCGCTTGGTCGCCCTTCACGTCTGTTAGAAGCGGCGGTTGTTATCACTTCACTGTCAGAGGCGGGCGCCAGCACCGAGCACCGGCACGACAGCTCACGGCGCCCGGCACCAGCACCAGCACCCAGCACAGCACCAGCACCCGGCACCCAGCACCCAGCACCCTGTCTCCACCACGCGCGCAGCCAGCACCCAGCACCGGCGCCCAGTCTCCACCACGCGCACAGCTCACAGCACCGGCACCGGCGCCCGCTGTCTCTACCACGCACGCTGCCAACACCCAGCGCCGGCACCGACCACGCGCACAGCCAGCTCACACCACCCAGCACCAGCACCACAGCCCGCACCAGCACCCGGCACCGGCACCCAGCACCGGCACCCTGTTTCCACCACCACCACCACCACCACCTATGAAACTTCAAACCAAGTTGAACAAGTTGTCAAAACCCAAGAAAAACAAAATGCAAGACTTGGTACACTTCTCGAACCCTCGTCGGTGTCGGCACGCGACGTCTTCCCACCGCCCAGCTTCCCGGTGCGCGACACTTTTGTCGCGCTTGAGCCATGCCGCAATGGCATGTCGAAGTCTCGAATGCGTGTCATCCCTTGTGCAGGGGCCGTGCGGTCTCGACTGGTTGTCATTCCTTGCGCAGGGGCACATGCACCTCTCTGGCTGGAATGTGGTACACACTCGATTTGTGCACTCGGGGCACATGACGAGTCGGCCAAAAGTGGATTCGTGAATCCACAGCCTGCGGACAAAAGTGCACCAGGCGTCAAGGTGGAGGCCGCCAACACGGGTTGGCTGCCCAGGCGGGTAGGCTTAGGAAACTACCACAGTAACAAGGCAATAACCGGTGCATTTCAAGTGAATATGCCTTATATGTGTCTATAGATACACGAGTAAATGCAAGAACCCTTTTGGTTGTCAAGAGGTCCATTCAGGTGTCAACTATTCACACCCCCCCTCAACCAAAGGTGGGACTTGCACTTTGTGGATAGCAATCATCAAGACATCTCTCAGCACATTCATTTCATATTCTCCCAAACCCGGTGTTGGGATCACGATTTCGGCACATCCGAACTCTGGCTCTTCTGAAAAGACCTGCACTATGCTTTTTCGAGAGCTATTCCAGTGTATGTTGTAAACGGATGTGTGATGAACTGTGTCATGAAAACCTGTGCACAAAAACGCTGAAATGTCATGCATTGAAACCTTACTCTGCAAGTCGACTATTCGATACAAGCATTGAATTTTCTTCTGAGTGCATGTCTGCCTCTTTGGCTTGAAACATCGTGCATTTATCAATTTGTGAGGAGATCCAAGCATCACATTTCGCCAAGCTTAAAGATGTACAACGAAAATGTTCGAAACGAGAGAAGGTTATTTTTCTTTTTGGGGTCAAATCTCAAAGCTTCAAACTCTTCTTTTAACCAAATCCTTCAAGTCTTGGGCTATGGGATGAAGATGCACTGGCGGCAAGGCTTCAAAATCTTGTCGCACCTTGGGATGCAAGAAGGTCGACTATGTTCGCCAACGATGTGGAGATGAGATGGAAATTCAAAACTGAATCCAACTCGTGTCTCCTGAGACAAAAAACCTGCCGGCATACAAGTCTGGCACAACGAGGGCAAAATCACTTGATGCTCCCCGTGATGTTTGAGCATCCGGCATGACTCACGATGCACACGCTCTCCTGCCTTCCTCGTGATCTTGTAGCGAAATTCAGGTAGTTCCTGAGCATCGGGCGGGGAATGCGAAGGAGGGTGCGGTTCTGGCGGCGAATCACTCGGTGGGATCGGCGACGAAGGTGAAGGCTCTGCTTTGACTTCTTCCCAATCCCCTTCACTGAGAGAATCATCATGATCCATCTTGCCATCCTTCGAGTGCTCTCCATCAACCTGGCTCTTGGATTTCCCTTTTGAACCTCCTTTGGCCCGAACATCTGTCGAGGTCCCTGCTCCCGAATCCTCAGCCACCTGCCCAGGGCTCACGGTCACATGAACTTCCGTGTCACTTGGTGCATCCACTGTGATCGTGATCTTGGACTTTGGGACCATGGCTTCAAGAACACTTGCAAAGATTTGAATTGTATCCAATTTATGGAATTTAGCGACTGCAACCTATTGGCACTCAATGCACAATGGTGATGTGAAAAGCTCGAATCAAATGAGATCTTGTTCCCAACTGAGTCAAGTTCGAAATAAACACTATGTGGATTTCTTCGTTCTGTCGTGCTCAAGTCGATCCACACGATCCCACTTGCTACAAATGGCCATGTACATCGACTGGATCAATTGAGTCACAACAGATGCAAAAAACAAAAGACGATCGTTCAGCTGAATTCATTCACTCTATATGCTTCAAAGCCTTTCGTGATGAACCATTTCACTACATCAATTGCCAGGTCCTTTGGATATTCACCTGGCTTTGACAGATGTTGGTCGTTTAACGACATGTGGCTCTCACAATGACAGATCTTCGGCTGAAACATGGGCATGGAACATGCGAATCGATATCGATGCAAAGCCGGCGCTTTCTCAACGTCATTCACATAGGCACATCGCGCTACGTCCAAGATGGACTCCAATCCATGGAACCGGCAGAACGACTGAACCAGCTCCTCACGCCAGTATGAGCACCTCTGACTCATCTCAAGAACCCTTACATCACAAATCTTCAAGATTGGGTGGCATTCACCAAGGATTCTTTCAAGTGCTTCTAGGTGCCCCTTCTGGAGTTCACTTCGCTTTGGCTGGGGAATCAAATTAAGGACCGGTGATCCTCCTGTGCACGGAGGGGAAGACCATCCGAGAACCAATGCTTTGGGGTGAATCCCATTCATTTGAACAAGCCATGAACGCAAAAGCTTGCCAACACGGAAAATATCAATGTCTTGAGTGACAGGAATCACAACACAACACTTGGTGTTGAAAGCATTGGCTCCCTGTGACAATCCTGCATGGAAGGTGGTGCACAGTTCGACGATGATATGCGTCACGATCCCGGCTTTCACCTGCGTCCCCACAAAACTCAAAAAGCTCTTGAAG